CTGGTGGTCCTCTCTGCTGGCCCTATACTGCCATAGCACAGAGAGGACCCCCTAGGTGTGCTGAGAGTGACTTCACACCAGTGAGCCCTGCTGAAAGTGCTGAGTTCCCAAAGATACATAAGACCTTCACACGCTTGCAGCTACCTTTCCTGACAACCCCAGTGACATTTCCTCTTCAAATATTCTGGCCTCCTCTGCTCAAGCCTCCAAAACTCCTCTGGGCCCATCCATAGAAAACCTTCCTTGTTCTCTTTCATTCACAGCCTTGAGCCGCCACGGAAGGGGGCCGGCTGCCAAGCTGAATGGACAAAGTTTTCTCCAGCAACACTGACTTCGTGGTGACTCATTTACTTGTGCCCATAGAATGCCCTGGGCAGCTCCTCCTCTCTCCTCTCTGTTTCCTCCAGTGCTGCTGAGCACTTGGAGTCTGAAGTCGTTGGGCATCTCCCCCATTTCTCTGCTCCCCTTCACATCACGGCTCCTGAAGTATCAGTCACAAGGCCTTCCTGAAAGCCAGGACATTCCTCCTGTTCCCAGATCCTTACCAGCCTCCCTTTTGCCCCCTGCACTCCACAGAACTCATAGTTAATGAGGTCCCTGAGAACCTCGGGGCCAGCAAACGAGAAAGCATTTCTCCCCACTGTATTTGTTGGCTTGATGTTTGCAGTGCACGGCTTCAGTGTCTGGATGAAGGAGGTATCAACAGGCAGGGAGAAGACACGCGGAAGAGGCAAACGCTAGATCTGTTTCTCAATCCTGCCTTCCAGGACCACCTCTTAAATCTTCACTCTCTTCGTCAGAGGGGTCCCTCTGATTTTCTTCTCTGTCCTTTATACCTTTCCCTTTATATTAGAGCCTGGACTAAGCCACCCATGACCCGAGATTCATTCACATCCATAGATCACCCCACTATCCACTTTGTAGTAGACCTACATACTACATAAGGGCCCCTCTGGCCCTTATGTGCTGGTGTTAACATAACCAGGACACATAGCCTTTTACAAGCCTGCCTACGCCAATGTTTTATTCACACTGGAAATATCATTTTTAACCTGAGGATGTCCATCTATTCCAGAGAAGCAGGAGGCAGAAAGAGCATGAAATAACTTATAGGAGGAATTGGCCCATGATGGTCTCTAATTTCTGATCATAGATCAATAGAACCGTGGTCTCTGTCCAACCTTCCTAATCCCATTTTGGTTTGATTATGAGTTTTGGACCTGCTGGGATGACCACAAGTAGATCCTCAGGCAGGTTAGTTTGACTCTCTTCGGAGTCAAACCAAACAATGAATGGTCAAATGGGATTACTGGTCCCCAGGGCTGGGAAAATCATCTGTGACTCAGCATGAAGGGATGCTTTTTCCTTGAGAATGACCATGAAAGGGCTGAGTGAACTCCCTGAGAGCAAGGGCATGGTTGAACTTATCTTTGTGTTTTTAAGGTTGCGGAGTCTGACAGAGAAGGTACCTCCCCGGTATAGACCTTTCTTCCTGGGATCAGGGTTTCGCAAGCAGACAGAAGTGACAAGAGGGTTCTATTTGAACTAGACTAAAACAGAAAAATGCTGAATAGAATTTGGTTGAAGCAAAGGAGAAGCAGGGCAATTGGGGAGAAAGGAGGAACAAGTGTGTATATTTAGTGGATTCCTCTCATTGGCACATTGGTTCTGTGAAGTCAACATGAACACAGAACTAACACATCCGGAACCACTGTTCCCAGAGTTAGCCTCCTGCGAGCCTCTGGTCACAACATTTTCATCAATCAAGCAATACATAACCTTGTTTCATGTGTGCTTTCCATTTAAAGATGCCTTATACGTTGTTGATTCATGAACACTGAACTTGGCCAATAGCACTATAGCTCATGTCTGAAAGAAGCTTCTTAAGCACAGGTTTTCTCTACAAAGCACGTTGAAGCTTCCTTGTGCCTAAGAGCACTCAACAGCACTTTGGCACCACGCTTAGGGCCCTCTTAGTGAGATAACCATCAAAAAGCAAAAAAACACAAAAACTGTGGCTCTAGACAGCCCATGAAAAGGACACTCTTTTGTAGCACGACAGCTGAAACAAGGAGGCGGAATATCACCTTGTTCCGTCTTGCCTGGGAATGTGTGCACCAGGGGACTTGAATTTTTCATCACTCTGAGCTTGTCCAGAAATGACCACAGAAATGCTGCAAGCATTGATGTGGGGATTATAAGGGAATTCTAATAGGTGGGCAAGTTTGCAAATACAGAATCCCTGAAATAATGAAGATCAATCGTGTGTGTGTGTGTGTGTGTGTGTGTGTGTGTTTATCAAACAAGATCAAGACAAATAATCAGAGATGTTGACTTTTCAGAAAGTGCAGCCTGGCCCAGTCATCAAGGCAGGGACAGGAAAGATATAAGGTGGATAAGGACAGGGTAACAAGACAAATAGCACACTGCCCATAATGCCAGCACTTTCATGTAGGGGTTGTTGGAGGGAGGGGCCGAGGGTGAGTGACAACATAATGTGACCACAGGCATCAGAGCCACACTGTGGTGACATGGATGTACAAACATACGGTCCCTGTCCATTTGGCCATTTCCCACACCTGACCCTGGGCATAAGGGAACCTGTCCTCTCTCCACCCAGATGCCTAACATGGTCCTGTCTCAAGGATTCGGGGCCTAGTAGTGTGTCCAAGGGCAGGAAGCACAGGTGCATGGGGACTGGAGCCACTCTTGAGGAACTGACTTCCAATATGTCATTACCTCATAAGCAGCCACCTAAGAGTTCCATCTCCCAGAGCTGAACCCCATGGATAGACGGCCTGGAAAAAGGGAATTAGGGGCATGAGTCTCTGGATTAACCAAACAGCCCCAAGAACTGTTGGAGACCTTTGGGTTGCAGACTGGTGACATAGGGCCTTTGGTGAGAGTCCTCATATTGCCAGCTCTTAGCCCAGTGCCTTGATCACAGATGTTCATTAAGATCTGGTGAGTGAGTGTGTGAAAGAAAAAACAAAAGAAGAGCGATGGCTGGAGACACTTGTGTTTATTTTCTTAGGGCAGTGTCCCATTAAGGACATAAGTATTGACCCTTCAAGCTTGAAAATAACATATTGTACTTTATGTCTTTTTTAAAAAAGATTTATTTATCTAAGAGAGAGAGAGAAGAGGGGCACAGGAAGAGGGAGAGAGAGTCTTAAGCAGACTGTGCTGAGCGCAGAGCCTGATGCAGGGCTTGAATCTCATGACCCTGAGATCAGAACCTGAGCCAAAACCAAGTGTTGGTCACTTAACCAACTATGCCACCTAGGCACCCCTATACGTTATGTCTTTTTTTTTTAAGATTTTATTTATTTATTCATGAGAGACACACATGAGAGAGGCAGAGACACAGGTAGAGGGAGAAGAAGGCTCTAGCAGGAAGCCCGATGTGGGATTTGATCCCAGGACTCTAGGATCACACCCTGGGCCGAAGGCAGGCTCCAAACCGCTGAGCCACCCGGGGATCCCTACTTTATGTCTTTTAAGACACCTTTATACATGTCATCTCATCAATCCTCAGATTAATGCTATATATGAAAGGGTCAGATATCAAACTCATGTGCTTAGTTGAGGTGACTGAAACAGAGAAGTTGAAAGATTTGAGCAAGGACATACAATGGCACGGTCAGCTCGTAGCCCACACATTTCTGACTCCTTTTATGATAAGAAGCAGCCCTCATGGGTGTACCCACCCCCCTTCTCTACCTGCAGAAAAGGGTCCAGGTGGCTCCTGGGCTCTGGAAGGCCCACTCTGCAGGAAGTGCCCAGGAATGAGAGACGTGGCAACAGGATCTTGAGCCAGCGATGCTGCCAGTCTGGTTCCCCAAGCTGGGGAGCAGCCTGCCAGGAAGCCAAGCGGGCAACCCGCGCCAGGCCAGTCAATTAGCACCCACAGAAACCCCGCTGCCCAGCGATTGCTCAAGGCAATGAAACTCCAGGCCTGCTGATTCCCGGGACAGAGGGCAGATGGGTCGCACGCTGTGTTCACAGATGGCCCATGAGTCCTGGAGTTGGGGGCAGGGGGTGGACATCGTACAAGTCCCAGGCTCTGATTCGCTCTGCCCTCAAAGCCACTGGGTGAGCCCTTCGGTTCAGAGAATGAGGCCGACCTCAGCATCCCTGTCCTGGACTTGGTTCACTCTTTCCTCTCTTGGTGGCCAAAGCCCTGTTCTTTTTTTTATCCACCTCCAATTAAGACTACTCTACAGAAGCACTCTTTTTGATAAGTTTTTCCACAATCCTCCCTCTTGCTCTCTCTCCAATATATGCCAAGCCCACGTTTCTCATGGTTCCCAGTCCTGTATTGCAATTCATCACTCTCCCATCCTCCCTTCCTGGCTTTGGATGGGCACACCCTGCGTCCAGCCTTTCCAGTACTTTCCCCATACTGTTCATACTTGTGACACTGGGCTCATTGGAGAAAAGAGGAGGCAGCCGGCAGAGAAACTGGCCCTGACTGAACAGGAACGCTGGCACATTGCTGACATCGCCTGAGCTTTCTAACCCGGGACAGCAAGCCACGGGTGAAGATACGGGCGCAGATCAAGAATGGAGATCCAGCCAGGGTGCAGTTTCCCTTGTTCCAAGGAATGGTTTGATTTGGATCAGAGGACAAGCTCTGAAGCCAAGTTCTGGGGTTTTCCCAAGGACATGCCTCTGATCATCAATCTGTTCAGAGGTTCACTCCAGAAGGACAGACACACAGGTTCCGGTAGGGGGCCGTGGGTCCAAGGCGTAATGGAAAGATGGGCACGTAGGCAACAACCTCGGAAGCATCATCTCTGAGAGGGGCAGAGGCCAGAGCTGGAGCTGAGGGGAAGGGAGGAGGAAGATAATCTCCCCAAGACCCTGTCACTCCCAGGGTGGGGAAGAGCTGGCATGTTCCACGGGCATGGGAAGGAAGGAGACACGGGAGATGCAGGGGTTCTCTTCATGGGAAACCTTGCTTCCTCTGCTTCCCCTTGCCCTTGGGGAGGACTCACCTGAAGAAGCCTTTGCAGCCTTCACAGGTCATAGCGTTGAAGTGAAAGCCTGTGGCTCGGTCTCCGCACACCCCACAGATTCGGGGCACGTTCCGGTCAAAATCGCCAGGGTCAGGCAAGGAAGTGCTGGCTGCCGTCGCCTCCATCCCTGTAAGAACGGCAGGCAGGCCGAGGCCGGCGCTGGAGTCAGTGCCAGGGCTGGCTAGCATCCTTCACGCCCCCACCCCCATGTGCCTGGGCAGCTCCCCAGGTCCCAGGCCTGAGCAGGATTTCTTGGGCGCCCTCACCTCGTGACTCCCTGGGGAGCAGAAGCAGGGCTCCCTAACCCAAGTCTGGAGAGACCTGCGGTGGCCCGGAGGTGGAGCGGCTCATGGTAGGGTTTGGGTTCACAGGCTGCACCTGCCGCCTACCGCGCTACTTTGGGTGACGTGTTTAGCCTGTCTGTGCCCTACCACCCTCACCCGAAGAATGGCGTTTTCTTTACAGGGTGTGAGGAAGGATTACATGAGTGAACATACGCCTACCACCAGCATTGGCTCATCTCCGTAGCAGAACTGCAGCAGGGCAGAGGCCTCTTTCCTTCCCAGTGCCTCGCAGCCACACAGGTCAGCAGTGACAGGCCTGTGTCCCTGCTGTCCTGGCACCAAGGCAATCAAAATCTTGTTGCCTCTTCTTTTTTCTCCCCCCAGTATAAACTTAACACATTGATTTGAACATCCTTCTGAATAAGGTGAGTCATATACTATTAACTCATTTGGTTTTCAGAGATGGCTTGTATAAATAGGCATTATCATCCAGAGATGGATTTCACACTTGAGGAGACAGGAAAGAGAGAGGGAACAAAATCTAATAGCTTTGGGGAGCCCTTCTCAGGAAGCAGCTGACTTAACTCTTCCAGTAGACAAATTGAGCCCTCGGCTTCACGATGTCAGGCCCAGAGCTCCTCGGGCCTCCCTAAAATGCTTCAGAGCCTGCTGCCTCCCACTTTTCTCTGGGTCCTCACTAGGGCCATTGCAGGGTTAAGTGGCCCCTTGGCCCCAGGGGCAGAAGAAACACAAGAGAGAAAGCCAGTTATGAGCCAGTGCCGTGTTCTCCTGCCCCGAGGTGAGAGAGGGAGATTCCAGGGGGGCCCTTGGAAGAGGCTCTGAGCTTCTTTCCAACGTAACCTCTGAGCTGAGGTTTGGCAAACCAAAGCCCCTTAGTGTCTTATCCCATTTACTCTTCGTATCACCCAAAGAGATAAGTGCTGTTACTGTCTCTCTCTTTATAAACGAGGCCCCGAGAAGCCCACCGCTTGAGGTATCTCTAGCAACTATGATTACAAAATACACAAAGCAAATACCTATTTTTTTTTTTAATTCCACAAAAAGCTTCAAGCCAAAGGAAGAAAGTAGGACAGATAAGGATAGAGGTGGAGGGAACCCTGATCACAGATGGCTGTAGCTCCCTGAACTGCCTCTCTTGGCTTTTCTTTTCCTGGGAACTGTAATGCACTAATAGTGACACTATTGCCGTCCCCATCACAGCTAGACTGATACTTGTTCAACTGCAATGTTTATATATATACACATTCAGAGAGAAAGACTTTAAAAAAAAAAAAGAAAGGAATGATTAACAGAAACTTTTGAGGGACTGAGATTGGGGACAGGCACGCAGAAGTCTTATGTAGTAACTATATTCTATTTCTTCAAGTGGTGGGTATATGGTATCGTCTTATTTTTATTTATTATTATTATTAAAACACGATGTTATGTTTTATATGCCCGTCTGTGTATATACAACATTGCACAATTGTTAGACAATTAAAAATAGAAGAAAAAGCGCCTGTGGGTTTGTCAACATTGTCCCTGTAGCCCATCCCAAGTCCAAGCTGTGGGCAGGGATCCCAGAGGCCCAATACCATCGTGGGGCAATAGGAGAAACTGTCTAGGATGCTTGTGGCTTAACCCCAGGTCAGCTGAGATGTTGCAACTCTCAATCATCATGAGGTTGCTACAGAGTCTGTGTCATCCAGGAGACCAAACATCTGGTGGATTTGGTGGAAAAAAGAGAAATCAAATGTGGGCGTGGGGGGAATACCAGTTGAATCAGTCCAACAAGTGTGCATCATCACATGGCACACTGGAGATGTCATGATGCAGGAGAGTTGGAGCAACAGGACACCCCAGCACGGCAACAGTGCTGTCCTGCTACTGGGCGAGCTTGACATCAGGAGGGCTGCTGGCCAGGGGTAGAGGCCCGGGCCCTGGTCAGGCCGGACAGAAGGCTGGACCCAGCAGCCAGAGGCCCACAGAAAACAGGACCGTTTCAGGGGAGTTGAGAGAAAACTCAGCCCTGCTTGGGGTTATTTGCTGCTACCACGGAACCAGGGCCCAGGCCTAGAGTCTAGAGGCAGAAAAGAAGCCCAGGCACATAAGGCCTGACAGCTGACCGTCCCAGGAATGGTAGGCAGAGACTGTGGGGGGCCGGAGAGAGAAAGAAAAGACTGGAGCTGGGCAGGAAACATCACCAGGCTAGACAGTCCCCTGGGGCCCCGGCCTGGGTGTCGGCGAGCCCCTCCCTTCTGCGCCCCCACCCCGCCCGCCTGCAGCTGGCTCTGGGTCTCAGCTGGCTCTGGGCACCGCGGGTTCTGCTGACACAGGGCCTGACCCGCATTTGCAAAGCCCGGGGTAGCCCGGGGTAGCGTTCTCTCCCTCCTCTTGACCCCTCCCTCCTGCGGCACCTGCGCCGGCCAACAGAAGGCCAGGGAAGCTGTGGCTGATGAGGAAAGACCCACCTGAAGGAGCAGGGGGGCAGGTCAGTTGAGCCCAGGGATGCCCTTCTGGGAGGTCACAGACGCGTCCAACCAAAAGGCCTCTGGAAGGAACAAGGGAAACACTTTACCCGCAGCTCACACTGTCCTCACAGCCAGTCCTCTACGAGCCCGGGAAGCAGCAGGCGGGGTTCCTTCCAGAGACTTTCGTCTCCAGGTCAGGGTGCCAAGTCGTCACCGGCAGGGGTGAGGGCGTGGGAGCCAGGCAGCAGCCGGGACTGGCCCTCCCTTGGGGCAGGGAGTAGCGAGGAGCAGCGGGGACGGGTGGGGGGCAGCACCTAGCATGTGGCAAATGGAAGGAGCCTCCAACACCCTGCTGTGGGTGCCCCTGTTTCTTTCACGGCAGAGGGGGTTGAAGGGAGGGAGGGCTTTCTTCCTGAGGGAGCCCTGCTGCTCCCATGGCATCATCACCCCCCCACCTCAAAGACAGGTGTTTGGGGGGATCCCTGGGTGGCTCTGTGGTTTAGCGCCACCTTTGGCCTGGGGCGCGGTCCTGGAGTCCCGGGATCGAGTCCCACATCGGGCTCCCTGCGTGGAGCCTGCTTCTCCCTCTGCCTGTGTCTCTGCCTCTCTCGAATAAATAAATGAAACCTTAACCAAAAAAAAAAAAAAAAAAAAAAAGAAGACAGGTGCTTGGGATCCCTGTCCCTGCAGACTGGGTGTGGGTGGAGCAAGGGCTGCAGGGGTTAAATACAGCAACTCACTGCTTTCAGACAGGATGTTTTCTGCCACTTTTAGCTCTTCCTGAGCCGGCTCCTTGTCCCCGGCCTCAGCAGAGGCTGGAGGTGGGCTGACTCTGGGCCCAGAGGCCATGTGGTAGTAGATGCTGGGTCATTGAGGTGGGGCTCCCACTCCTACCCACACCCAGCCTGCTTGTCTACCGAGGAGACAGACAGGCCACACACACACACACACACACACACACACACACACACACAGGCGCGCTTCCTCCCTCCCCCAATGCCAGCAGGAGGTGCCTGACCCCAACCCTGGCGGAGGCCTTTAAGCCAATCCCTAGACGGGGAAGGTCCAGACCCCCAGCCTCTGTTTCTCTGCCTCCCGGAGGCCCCCACCGGCAGGGAAGGGAAGGGCCCAAGGCAATTCTGAGACGTGGGCCCTGGGACTGTCAGCCCACCGAGCCCATTTGGCCTCCCCTTGGGCACTGCCAGCCCCCAAGGAACATCTGGGGAATATGCCCGGGGTGGGGGGGTCAATGAGCAGAAACAACCTGAGCCGGGCTGGCCTGCTCCCAAGGGCCGTGGGTGGCCGGAGGCCCACCTGGTGGAGACAGACGCGTTGTCACTTACCCCCAAGCCAGGCCCTCCTGTGCTCCCCCTGCTGGTCCTGCCCACAGCCCGCAGCGGACCACTCTGCTGGGCTCCGCCTGCGGCCTTGTGGATCCCCAGACTCCCTGCGCTCCTCGGGGGCTGAGGTGAGGGCTGAGCCGGTACAGAAGGGACCACTGCCGGGGCTGAGCATCTGCCTTCGGGTCAGGTTGTGGTCCTGGGGTCCCGGGATTGAGTCCCACATCAGGCTCCCCGCATGGAGCCTGCTTCTCCCTCTGCCTGTGTCTCTGCCTCTCTCTGTGTATGTGTCTCATGAATAAATAAATAAAATCTAAAAAAAGAAAAAAGAAAAGCGTGTCCGGAGTATCTACCATGTGCCAGGCCGCCAGGCACTATACGTACCGCCGACAGAAGCCTCATGACAATCCTGAGAGTTGGGGAGCAGTCCCACTTTCCAGACGGCAAAGCCGAGGTCCAGACTACTTTGAGTGACTTGTCCACGGTGCCATGGCCCGCCAAATGGTGGGGCCAGGGGCCAAACAAGGACAAACTGAGCTTCCTGCCCAGATGCTTCCCCCGACTCCTGCTGACCCCTCCTGTTCCAGCGACAGTCACCAGCCGCCACGCTGTACTCTGTGCTGAGCCCTGCTCCGAGCTCTCCAGGAGCCTCAGGACAACCTCAGCAGGCGGGCCCTGCTATCATCCCTGTTTCAGCCATGAGGAAACTAAGGCACAGGGACGTGGACTGTCTCTGGAGCCTGGCTTTGAACTTAGGCAGCTGGCCCCTGAGTCCCCGCTCTGCTGCCTTTCCTAAGGGAGAGGGCTTCGTCATCTCCCCAACCCTGAGTGCAGCATGTCCTCTGCTTCCACTAAGTCAGGGAGCAAGGAAGGGAATCCCCTGGTCATGATGGAAGCACGTCATGGCACTTCTCCTTCCACGGCTCCCAGAGCCAGAGGATGGCACGCATGAGCCAGGATCCCCTTCCTGCCAGTCAGCCCCTCTTACTGGGCAAACCCCACTCAGCAGACCAGCCCCTCCTCCCCACGCGACTGTGCACTACTGGATGGTCCTTTCAGGAGAGATTAACCTAGATTTAGCCTGAAGTTCATGTGCATGGAAAGTGGGGCAAAGGCACAGGGTAGGAAAAGGACAAGTGGAAAAAAAGTGCTTACTGCCACCCCCCTTTGCCACATCATACAACCCCCACCCCTCCCCACAATTCATGTTCTGAGTACACAGAACGTCCTATTACTTCTGCTGGGACTGTCCCCAGAGCAACCCCCTCCTGCCCTGCTTTAGAAATACCCAAACCCCTGGCACTGAGCCTTGGAGACGCGGGGTGAGGAGCTCAACTCTGCAGAAAGCCCCTGGCTTCCATTCCCCTGGGGACTGCATCCCACATCAAAACCCCTGCCTGAGCGTGACCCAGTCCTGACCTTGCCTTAGCAAGAAGTGAGGAGATAACGTGTTTCCTTCCAGTCATTGAAGCCACAACCACTGCCCCTCCTACTTGTCTGTCTGTTAGCTCACACAACACATACCCCCTCTTTCAGGGCTTTTGCTAAATGGGCATCCCCAGGCAGGCTCGCCCAGAACAGTCTCTCGGGGTGGTGGCTGCAGGGTGTGCTGGGCAGAGCCGGGGAAGACAAGGATCAAAGTGCCGCTGGGCTCTTTAACCCCACCACACTCACTGAACCCTCCTCGGAGTCCTGAGGGCGATAAAGCCATGACCCTGAAATATCCGATAAGCCGTGGACAAGAGGTCTGACCTCTAAAGTGTATTCCAGCCCTGAAAGTGTGCAGCTCCAAGGCGGGATTTCCCATTATAATGAGGCCATACGACCACTCACTGAGCTTCCTCTTGGACCCCCTCTGGAACCTGCTGGGCCCCAGCACCGTGCTAGTGCAAGTGAGGTTCACTCACCCTCAGATGCTAAGGACCAGGAAGGGCCTGAGTGGTGGGGCCCCTCTTGGGCCCCACGGAGAAGGGGAGCCCAGGAGAGGGGCTCTTGCTCACCAAGCTAGGCCTGGAGTGATCAAAACCGAGCTTTCTAATTGTTGACATTGGCTCAGAGCTCCCCCTCCTTCTAGAAAGAAATGGAAAGCTAAGTGATTTCCCAGAATAGGGAAAGAAAATTCTTCTTCCTGAAATCAGCATACACAGAGCGAACCACATGTGGGAGTAGTACTCTCTGGAGTAAATGGGCCTGTGCGTGTGCCAGCCATGCTATACACGAGCTTGTGCATGCACACCCTTTCCTTGGTGTTTTTTACTTCATCATCTTTTCAGCTCTGTCCACAGGGTGCTGAACGCGATAGGACCTGCCTCACTTTTGGTCATCTCTTTATTCTAGCATAACTCAGGTAGAGCAATGCCATGGCCAGCTAAGGTGATGCCTTTTCTTCCTTCCCACCATCCTCAACATGTATCCACGTTTTTTTTGTTTGTTTCCAGAACAGTCTCAGCATCACCTCCCAGAAGGAGCTGAGGGGGAACAGAGTGAAACAGAGGGAAAGGGGAGAGGAAAAGTATATTGTATAAACAGAACTTGTGTCCAAACTATTTCTTGCTTCATTGTGTCCCCAGGCCCTACACACACACACACACACACACACACACACACACACACACGATTACAGTGAGAATGGTTGGAAATCATGTTCTGCAGACTCTAATGTCCAAAGTAAAACCCATTAGACATCCGTCACCTCAGACGTCTCAAGACTGGAAGGAAACTCTACCCAGTCCAACCATCTTAAATTCCCCCTCTATAATACTCCAACTTGTACTTGAGTATTTTTCCTGATGGAGAACTATCTCCCATGGCAATCCACGTTCTTTGGATGGCTGTATGCTTAGAAAGTTCTTCACCATGCACAGATGAAATAGCCCCTGTAGCTTTCCATCGCTGAGACCAGCCCTCTACAGCCATCTAAGGTGGCCGTAAGTTGAAGTTACTAGGCCATTCCCACAGAGTTTCTGCAGGAAGGGTTGGCGGGACCACCACATGGTGCCATCGTGCAGTTTAGACCAGGGCCCATTCCTCATCCGCTGGGAAACTGTTATAAAAAAAGTAGAAAACTTTATGACGTTTATGATGTAAGTGAGGTTGCAGGAGAGAAGCAGAGAAGATACCCCCGGTACACTTAACGTTGCCTCAGACCTCCTGAACTTCCCAGGTATGACCATGACTCCCACAAGGGCAGTAATTAAGGGGGCGAATGCAGTGTCTGCCTCCGTGGCCTTCACCTGGGGAGAACAGCCTCCAGGGCAAGGCAAGGGCTCTGTAGGAGAGTGTGAGTAGCTGCATAAGCTCCCCCAAGCCCGCCTGCCTCCTCCGGCTTTGGCTCAGCTGTGTCCAGGGGAGGCTGGCCCCCAGCACCGCAGCACTAAGAACACAGGCAAAGCATCCTAAACCATTTAACGACTGACTGAACGATGGGAAATTAAGTGACTGATGACTCAGGAGTTGTAGGAAAGAATTTACCCCGAAGGTACTTCATATTTATATTTTTAAAGATTTACTTATTTATTTGAGGAGGGGGTAGTGGCAGAGGTAGAGGGAGAGAGAGTCAAGCAGATTCCCTGCTGACGGAGCCTGATGCAGGGCTCGATCCCATGACCCTGGGATCATGACCTGAGCTGAAACCAAGAGTCAGACACTCAACCGACTGAGCCACCCAGGTGCCCCTGAAGGTGCTTCTTAATTAAACCTTTGAGGAATATACATCACCTTCGAGAACCCGATAAAGGTCA